GAGCATTCAGGATAACTTCTTGACCCGGGTGGTGGAGACGCCAACAAGGAGAGGTGCAACGCTAGCCCTTGTACTAACAAACAAAGAAGGTCTAGTTGGAGAGGTGAAGGTTGGGGGCAGCCTTGGCTGCGGTGACCGTGAGATGGTGGAGTTCAGGATCCTGCGAGGAGGGAGCAAGGCAATGAGTAGGATTGCAACGCTGGACTTCAGGAGCGCTAACTTTGGCCTCTTGAGGGACCTACTTAGGGGAATCTCGTGGGGTAGGGCCCTAGAAGGAAGAGGGGTCCGGGAGAGCTGGTTAATATTCAAGCATCACCCTCCTCCAGGCTCAAGATGGGTGCATCCCTCTGAGGAAGAAGTCGAGCAAAGCGGGCAGGAGACCTGCATGGCTGAGCAAGGAGCTCCTGGCAAAACTCCAGCAGAAGAAGGAAGTGTACAGAATGTGGCAAAGGGGACAGGCCACTTGGGAGGAATACAGGGACGTTGTCAGAGTGTGCAGGGCTGCGACAAGGAAGGCTAAGGCCCATTTGGAATTAAGCCTGGCAAGGGATGTCGAGAGGACAACAAGAAGGGCTTCTTCAAATACATCAATAGCAAAAGGAAGACTAGGGAAAATGTTGGCCTGCTGCTGAATGGGGTGGGTGCCCTAATAACAAAGGACACAGAGAAAGCAGAGATACTGAATGCCTTCTTTGCTTTGGTATTTACTGCTAAGGCCAGTCCTCAGGAATTCCAGATCCTGGAGATGAGACAAAGTCTGGAGAAAGGAAGACTCTCCCTTGGTGGAGGAGGATCAGGTTAGAGATCTTTTGTCTAAACTTGACATCCATAAGTCCATGGGCCCCAATGGAATACACCCATGAGTGCTGAGGGAGCTGGCGGATTTTATTGCTAGGCCACTCTCCATCATCTTTGAAAGGACAGGGAGAACAGGAGAGGTGCCTGAGGACTGGAAGAAAGCCAGTGTCCCTCCAGCCTTCCAAAGGGCAAGAACGAACAAAAAACAAATATGAAGTCCTGAATCTGGGATGGAATAACACCAATACAACAGTACAGGCTAGGCCCTGACTGTCTAGGAAGTAACTCTGCAGATAAGGATCTGGAGGTCATAGTGGACAAATTGAACATGAGTCATCAATGCAGCGAGTCCTTGCAGCAGGAAAGCCCAACTTCATCCTGGGTTGTACTAGTAAGAGTGTAGCCTGCAGGACTAGGGAAGTTATTTTATTTGATACTTAAGAGACTGCATCTGGAGTATTGTTACCACTTTTAGGTTCCCCATTGCAAGAAAGACATAGATACATTGCCGCAAGTCTAGTGGAGGGCCACCAAGCTGGTAAGAGGGCTGGAACACATGGCATATGAAGAGAGGACTTCATATTTGTTTTTTGTTGCACTTAATAAGGTTCCTGGAAGTCCA